CACACACACACACACACACACACACACACACACACACACACACACACACACACACCTATTCCAATAACTTCAATCAGCCAGTAGATTAATTTTAATTATTTGCATGTTGTCAATTATATATTTTATGCTGCCATCCCCAAGATTTTTCTTTCTCTTTCCACAGTGGGTGTTTGAATACCAGAGCTAAAACATAAACTGGTCCACAATGTATAACATGAAATTTACAATGCCTTTGTGTAGCTCTGCCCATATATAGCCTTTCGTTCTGCTACAGGCCTGGGATGTCATGGATCGTACAAGGGTGGTGCCAGAGGGGCAGGGGACTACAGCACATGCACACAAAGTATCAAATCAGCAGGAAGGGCTGATTTATCTGTACGTATAATATATTACATTACTATATATTATCTTGCTACCTCTATGGTTATAGATATATGGCAATTAATAATTCTTATATATTTTATATATAGTAATTATTCCTGCTACAAATTATAAAAAGACACTATACGTACTCTTGAATTACTCTTACCTTGAAATTTTGGAATAACCAGATAACAACATGGGCATTAATTATGATTACCACGAACAATATAATAATAATAACAACAACAACAACATTATCACCCACAACAACAAGAATGAGAGGAAGAAAAAGAAGCAGAAGAAGAAGAAGAAGATGATGATGACGAAGAAGAAAAAGAAGCGATAGAAGAAGAGAACAGCAACAGCAGCAGCAACAACAATAAACAACAACAACAAAATTAAGCAGCAGCAGCAAAATCTACTAAAACAGTAGCAATTTATCACAAAAACAACATGCCGAATAATATTAGATTAGGAAAAGCTGCACATTATTTTCATAAGAAACCCACGAAATAACACTTTTGGTACCGGTATCGTATTGTATCGTACCTCCTGTTCTGCTATGATTGAACAAGCAGCTGTGATTGGTCAGTCACAACCGCAACTCTCCGTCGCCTTTTAGAGTGGTGCTCGCTCCCACCACAAGGCTTAGTTCTGGTTTACTCGATGGGTATAGTTACTAGCGAGCAAGTAACTAAGCCGAGAAGTGGGAGCGAGCACCAGTCTACATCGCCTTTGAGCATGATGATGATACACATATCGAGGAAATTGCCCTGGTTTGTGTTCTATTCTACATTAAATATCTTTGTAAAATCGTTTATGCGTGTATTATGAAACTGGAGTAATGAGAATTGGATTCAGCTGTGACATGGTAGAATAGCTAGTGCTACGAATCTAGGAAGTTCTTAGGGGGGTCACCGTCGACTCGCTCGAGAGATCGATGTTGACATTTGACGATATGTTGTTGTTCTCGCAAAGTAGCATATGTTGGTGCAACAGTCCAACACGCTGCCGAGTATGAATATGAGCTGAGTATGTACTCAGGTGGGCATATATTTATAGGTTGCGCATGGTCATATTCCATACTACGCATATCAACTTTCGCATCAGACTTTTTGTATATCAAAGAATGATGCAAAAACCCTAACCATAACCCTAATCCCAACCCAAACCCTAACATTAACTATAAAACGACTCCTATGTTATATAATATCTATGGTATCCCAAACACTATCTATGGTGTATACTATAGGCAGAGTGTTGCACCAACATATGCTACCTTCTCGCAACTGTAGGCCTACTGCTGGTAGTGGCCTAGTGTAGTCACCGTAGTGTCATTACACTTTACAGTCTACCCTAGCGGGGGGGGGGGAGGCTCCCTATATATTGCATGGTTGGTATGTGCTGCGGTTATGACCCCCATTTTCACCTCAAAATTACTGGCTTTTTCAAATTGCGCCGGTCCCTGAGCTTAGGTCCTACTTTTTTCCGCACGTTCCGGAGACCCGCTTTCGCAAACATGTCCAGTTCTGGAGCATCACGTTTTCCAGCAAACCCTAGTTCCGGAGACCCCCATTTTGATGTGCTGAGTTAGTACCGGAGCCCCCCCCCCCCCCGATTCCATCTCAAGTGGCACATGCCTACTCAGGGGTAGAAATTAACTTTTGAACAAGGGAGTGGACTCCCTGCCCTCAAAAAGAGGTCCGCAGCAAAATGACGAGTCCGTAGTCTGAAGTTGAAAATGAAAGATTAGCTTGTATCTTGTATCTTGTATCTTGGTACCCTCTCTTGTATTTCACAAGGCACTCGATTCTACGAGGTGCGGGGATTATTGGGAGAAAAGGAGATTAATGCCGCCTCTAGTTCTCTAGATGTTAGTGTTTCTAGTCACCAGTATTTTCTGTACATAATCGAACTCTGGTTTCAGTAACCTGTGGTTGTCTCCTGTCCAGTTTTCTATTCGTTGTTCCTCCTTATATCTATTATAGCTATTACGTTTATATAAATGTTCCATGTCTTCTTTTATATTCTTAGTACATCTATTACACATATTGTCACTAAAGTTATTTTTAAAGTAGCCTTTGAGATCAATCATACAAGTTTTAAACTTAAATGCACTGCAACTTTAGCTGAAAAAATACGGTAATTCCACGAGGCCGTGGTCTATAGAACGAACTAGTTAGTACACCAAAATTTTTAGGGAATCACACGAACTCCTGCATATGTCAAATCAGGGAGTCGGACACTAAATCGGGTAGTATTTGACTCTGGACATGCGTTAATTTTGCACGCTGCCTGCCTTATTTCATAGCGAGTGTCGTGGTGGTACCATGAACTTCCATTATGTTTACGAAGTCTAGGCTGTCACAATTTACTCATTAGTATTGACCTCGTGAATTATAGTCTACAAAGTCCAAGGGACTATATCGAAGATGGAAAGAGACAAAGTTGATCAATTAGACAGATCAACACTGTGGATCGCAATAGAAAAAGTCTCAACTTTGCAATTTACTAGAGTGGAAGGGAGAGAATTTCAAAATGGAATCACAGAAACAAAGTAGCTAAACTAGAATGGATCCTAGACTGAACTAAAGGCTAGATAGATGTAGTCACTTATCCCTGGTCTAGGTAAGGTAGCCTGACCCACTGTATTAAGAGCTGCTAGCAGCTCTCATTTTTTGTTGTAGTGTAAAGCTGGGTTTACATTACCGACTTTATGTTGGCGAATTAGCGAGTCGGACCAATTTTGTAATTCGGCAACTCCAAGTTGGCGAAAATAATAGAACATGTTCTAATCTCCCAACTAGTTGCTATCGATCGGTTGGTCGCGCAACTCTTGCGTTTACACTGCCGATTGTCGGTTGTATAGTTAGGAAGTTGGTTCAATTCGCCAACACAAAGTCGGTAGTGTAAACCCAGCTTAAGCCAAAGTGATTCTTATTGCAGGGAGATTTATTATAAATTTATTATTGCTGTTGGTTACGAAACTAGTCACTAGTAAATGCATTCCTGAAATTCTTTGAGCCTTATTAAACATGATGAAAGTTATTCGGTCTGTCGGATATATGACTGGGTGTCGTAAGTTAGATCACTGTGTAGCAACTGCAAGATTCTGTCATATCGATCTCTGAGTAAATCATGCAGGGTAGTTGTCAATACTAGGCTAGTGTTGTAACCCTGTTTAGCTGGGCTGAACAATCATAGATAAAGATACAACGTTCCTTTATTTTGTGTAATGTAAATTGATTGTTGGCAAAAACACTACCCCTATTTTGAAATTTAAAGTGCATGTTTTAACCATTTCAATTGTTATTGTGGTGATGTATTCTACATTGTATATCGCTCATTGTTTAGGAAACAAACTATAGTATAGTTCCATGAGATATATTGTATATAGAATCAGCCCCAAATATAAATAAATCAATAAGTTGGCCCTTATTCTGGGCATTGGTAGGTATAAGCAAAGTACGTGCCAATCTGCGTAAATGTATCCACACTCAGTCAAGACTACATGCATATTTCTTGCAGTGTTCCAGCTACTTATAATACTATTTTATAAGTTTGTAAAGTGATTAAGTTTATGTGCTATCAGCCAGGTATCAGATATGTTCTGTATTAATAGTGCAAAAAACAATTGTAAAAAATGTGCAATGCTAGCTGTAAGGAATTCAGATAATTAGAAAAGTCGTTATGAAAGATGCAGAATTTTGACTACTCTAGACTTGCTATCAATGTTATCAAATAACACGAACGATCTGTACCAATACTCTCACTAGATGGCGGTAGTTTCGCACTTGCCATTACCCTTGTAACAGCTATATATTGCAGAGGTCCAAGTACCTATTTAGGTTAAGGTCAATTCAAGTTTAACAAATTAAGAGTATTAATTAATGCAAGTAGTAGTATACATTCTTTTTATGTCCTCGGGCCCTGTATTTAATTTTCAATATTTAGAAAATTTTCATAGCACATGATAAACAACAAAGACAGAAAGTGCAAGTATGAGAAAAGAATGAAGGCTCAATTAAAATATAAATATAGCGAAATACATTTGAGCTTATATTCAGGTGTAATTGCATAATAGCTGTAAATTGCAGTTGGCCATAATTTCAAGTTGACGACGTGCAATAATATGTTCGTGGATGTCTTCGGGGCGATGCGCACATATCTGATTTGTCACCGCGATCACAACTACTCGGTTTATCTTCTTCAGGCGCAAAGTTTCGCAGCTCGCAGATGCGTGTGTATCGCCTGCGAGCAGATGTCGAAGTTCACAAAGCGGAATACACGCGAGTGCGATCGTCGGCGCCAGCATCACCGGCGACGCATCGGATGCTGCGCCGACACCTCCTCGACTAACGCAATCTCCCGCTCGTTCGTACTCCGCGAAAACTCACCCGAGCAAGGGCAAGCAAACGGGTGGCCACGCGTCGAAGGAGAATGCGCCGACGCGCTCGGACCTCGGCGGCAGGGGGGTCGTCACGGTGCTCGACCAGGATGACCACGTCGTCGGCATCGTGAACGTGGACGCGGCGCGCGGCAAGGCCGAGCAGGAGGGCCTGAAGCTGGTGTTGGTGCAGCCGAACGCTAAGCCGCACCCGATCTACAAGCTCATGACGGGCAAGCAGCTTCACGAGGAACAGATGAAGGAGAAGGAGCTACGGAAGGAGAGGAGGACCGAGGGCGGCAATCACGTTGAGAAAACCGTGCAGATATCGGCGAAAATCGCCGTCCACGACTTGGAGGTGCACCTGAAGAAGATCGAGAAGTGGTTGGAGAAAGGACATAAAGTGAGAGTGCACATTAAAGGCAGGGAGGAGACGCAAAAAGAGATGGTAAGAGGAGAGCAATGATGGTTTAGAATATCTCTTGCAAGCAGTAATGAAGGTAATGGTTTCAAGAAATGTTCATGCTTTACTGCGTTCATGCTTTACATGCGTTCATTTTTCTGCGTTCATGCTTTACATGCGTTCATTTTTCTGCGTTCATGCTTTACTGCGTTCATGCTTTACTGCTGCGTTTCTATGAAAAATTTATCCTTTTCCTAAACTAATGTGTAAATTATTCTAATATAAATGCTGTTTTCTGTATGATTATAGTTTCAAATCAAGCTAGTTTAGGGTTTAAAGGTACCCTGTAGTAGCTCGATTATGCAGCTGCTAGAGCTTAGAGCTTCTATATATATATACGTTTGTGCACGTAACAGTGGTGAATATTGTTCCCACTGTTTTGATTCTTTACAATAAGTACACTCTATACAGCGAACCAACCCAGTAAAGCGTTTGATAGTTAGCGATAAGTCATTTAAGAAGGTAGTAACTATCATACATATATAGACCATTAATTGCAGTGCTGGGTCTACTATAGTCATCTAAGGAGACCACCTTGCATATAAACTCAAATGTCTGCAGATTATCCGAGTGATCTCATTGACCAAAGTATATCCCCGTGGATGGATCGATCGTACTATTTAGATTATTCCAGCAAGTGCTCGCAGATTAAGGTTTCTGTTGTTTTGTTTTGTTTCAGGATGAGATAGTGACTGGTATACGTCAACGAATGAGTAAGGCGAACATAACAGGACAGAGGAAGACCAAGCATGACACACATTTTATTTTGCAATGTCAGTAAACACATAGTGAATCTAATCATGCTATTCTTCTGTTTGTCGTCGCAATATCAACAATAAATTTCTCTTATAATTACGCAGTAATATTGCGATAGCCTTCTAGAATGCTTGTTTTGCTTTACATCTCTTAACGTTTCATTTCTCTTCTTGCACTTCTTTCTGATTGTTTAAATGATTATAACGCGCAATTGGCTCGAGAAATTGCTGAGATGCGTTTCGTTCTGGATTCATCTTTTTTGTTGCCGTAATAACAAAGTTTGATATTTTTGCAATTTTCCCTGAATGAGCTGATTTTTTTTCTGTCAATTCATGCTAGATTTATGAGGGTTTCCAGCAGCTGCATTGAATTTATTTCAAACTAAATCGATTATTTTTTTGATTGTCCAATTTTGTGTGATTTTATGTGAAAATATCATTTTAATTTATCATGTTTACAGAAGCATATAACCAAACGTGCCCATTTTATGATTAAACCAATTTAAATATCTCAGCAGTAAATGTGCTGAAAGGTCATCTGGCCAATCAAATACTGGTTAGTATGCAAATTTTTTTAACGAAACTAATTATGAATGATGAATAATTTTATAACATGCTAATAACGAAGAAGTACATTTTATGTGTTCAGAGGAAAACTGAAGTTATTTGCATACAAGAGATGGGACCAAAGCAACTACACATATGCTATTCAATTATCTAGTAGATGGGCAATACATGCATGATTTCCCTGAAGCAACTGGCTGATACAGACTCGGATGGGTGATGGGTGTCTTGCATGCACATTCACGTTTCAGTCAATCCGCTATCTATCTGTGTTACTGTCGCATTAATATCACGTATCTTGTACCATTATATCACGAGTACGTGATACAGAGATGCAACTTTACGAAGCTTGAGGATTTAGAAAACGTGCAGGATACAACATTTTAATTAATGAGTCCATTTGCAAGCACTTCATCGCTTCAATTCGAGTTACAACGTTTGGATAACGGATGGTGCCACAGTGAAATGCTCTGTTACCTTACATACCGTTCCATGCGGGTGGTACAGGGTGCTTGTGGACATTAAACGTGGGCGCGCGGTGAGCACTTAAAATAGCTATAGAGAACAATATAGTGCATGGTGGCATCGTTGGACACCACGATTATCTCCTGCATACTGAAATGACTGCGCATTGACTATTTGTACGAACGTGTTACGTGACCGACATTGAGAATTAAGGTGATCGTCCACATACACAAGTCCGTAAAAACAAATGTAAATTAATTTTTTCGTAAAACGCTGCCGTGATATGTGATAAGACGAATGTTTTAGTTCTCTGAACGTGTGTGAGTGCGTAGAGCGACAATTCCCGAGAACCCCGGGCAGCGTTCTGACATCGGCAACGTTCCCGTGATTCCACGCCATACAATCGTTCTATATTAATTATACGAGCAAAACTTATTATGGTTCGTTAATTATGATGACTTAATTATTATTCGGTAATTATATGACTCGAATGTAGACGCGAGTCGCTATAATTCGACGTCGTGTGGCGAGACAAACCGGACGAGTACACAGTATGTGTATGATACGCTTTCAGCGACAAAGTAGCCTACTGACAGTGTTTCATCTGCAAAATTCCGTAAAACGGCAGCCTTTCTTCCATCGCAACTACCGCTGAAGCTCTATATATGTGCTGGCCATACATTCCGAATATAGGACACGCCGTCCCTTATCATTCCCATCTCAATACATCCCCCTGTCCCTTCGCATCGACCCCTCCCTTACAATGTGAGGCGGCTAGGCGGGAAATGAGGACGAGAGAGATTTCAACCCGCCGACGAGAGATTCCTCGCGGAGCTGCATTTGCCCTGATCGATCTCGCTAGATGAGAGACGTTGGATAGTACGTCACCGCGTGTCCCGACCACTGGAAATGCGCACCGATATATGGTATCGGTAGATTTCCACTCCGTAGATTTCGGCTCCGTCCGAAATGATATAAACCCGTGCGTTTTTGTTCTCGTGCATTCATAAAGAAGCAGGATGAAAGAACTTGCTGATAACGCATATGCGTTGGAAGGATCAGGGAAACATGAATGGAAGATTATGAATTAAGTTGATTTCTTATCAGCTAGCTATCGAGTCTACTCGCGCATTCCATTCAGGTATGCTTGAGTTCGCGTGCACAGCGAATATATAATATGATCATCGCTGAGGCCAAAATACGCATGGCCAGGGTTTGGACCATGCACTATAATCGAATAACACGTTGACGATTATAGAGAAATGCTATGCGTGACTGTTCCTTGTAAGTGTTTGATGCTGAGAACAGAGAGTTCACTTTTAATCCATTATAGCTAACTCGAACGTATTACGCTAATATGTAGTGGGTCTCTCTCCACCCCTCCCTCTTTCTTTCTTTCTCCCTCCCTTTCTCCCCTCTTTCTCTTCCTCTCTCTCTCTCTCCCCCCTCTCTCGCTCTCTCTCTCTCTCTCTCTCTCGCTCTCTCTTTCTCTTTCTCATTCTTCTCTCTCTGTGTCTCTTTTCCCCCTCTCTTCTTTCCTCTCCATTCCCGTAACCTTCCCACCTTTCTTCTGCTCTATATCGAACTCTTCTCTGTATTTCCTCCCCCTCACTGTTCTTCTCTGTTCCGTAGTAAATTTGTGGTCTGTGTGTTAACGATCAGATACGAAATTATTCGCAAATATTGCGAAGGTCTAGCTTGAGTAAATACGTTCTGATCAAAACTTTTCATGACGCTAGTGGCGATACGTTTCATCAACCGAACTCTAAAGTAAAACTCGTTGCTTTTCTATTATCGAGGAGCTGTAAGTGTGGCACGGCGGCAGGCCTATATAGCTCTCGTGCCATTATACTCATTATCGCCATCGTAAATGGCGTACATGAAAAACGCTGACAGCTTCAGTGCGTCATTCGGTAAACTTCGTGGGCGGCGTAATTTCGCCTAATAACGCCTGCACACCCCGCGAAGCTGTCAAGTTCACTGGTGTTCATATATCGAGAGCAGTCATAACAGCTGCCAATACGTCGCCTCTATATTTGCCGGTCATTGATCGCCTAACCATGCATATGTGCTTATCTTTTGCCACTGCATAATGATTTTTATGTATACGAGCGCGAGCGTGTATATGCGTGCGCGCGAGCGTGTATATGCGTACGCGCGAGCGTGTATATGCGTGCGCGCGAGCGTGTATATGCGTACGCGCGAGCGTGTATATACGTGCGATGCGTGCAGGCGTGTATATGGTGCGATCGTGTAGTATAGCGATTGCGCGGCGAGCGTGATACCGCTGGCGCCGCGAGCTGTGTATATATGCGTGGCGCGCGAAGGCGTGTATGATGCGTGCCGCGGAGCGTGTATGTGCTGGTGCGCGCGAGCGTGTATGATGGCGGGCGCGGCGGAGCGTGTATGTGCCGTGCGCGCGCATGTGTGTGTGAATGGACGTTGGTGGAGTGCCTGCCAATGGAATCGTAGAGGGATTCGCATTAATCGACGGTCTTAGTAATTGGGTTGGTCTTGCGGCATAATAGTGCTGGAAGCAATACGTCTAATCAGGTCTGCCCGGCAACGGCTGTGATGGTTT